AGGCTGGAGTGCAATGGCGTGATCTCGGCTCACTGTAACTTCCACCTCCGGGTTCAAGCAGTTGCCTGCCTCAGCCTCCCAACTAGCTGGGACTACAGGCATCTGCCATGACACCCAGCTAATTTTTATATTTTTATTAGAGACGGGGTTTCACCATCTTGGCCAGGCTGGTCTTGAACTCCTGATCTCGTGATCCACTGACCTCTGCCTCCCAAAGTGCTGGGATTACACGCGTGAGTCACTGCGCCTGGCAAAGAAATTTTTGTTTTACCAAAAATATTTAAAATTGCCTTTATTTCCCAAAGCTTACTAAAGTCACATGAACCAAAAGACATTATAGTGCTCCTTTTTTTTCTGAGACAGTTTCACTGAACTGTCCAGGTTGGAGTGCAGTGGCACGATCTGGGCTCACTGTAACCTCTCCCCTCCATGTTCAAGTGATTCTGCTGCCTCAGCCTCCCAAGTAGCTGGGACTACAGGCGTGAGTCACGACATCCGGCTAATTTTTGTATTTTTAGTAGAGATGGGGTTTCGCCATATTGACCAGGTTGGTCTCGAATTCCTGGCCTCAAGTGATCCACCCACCTTGGCCTCCCAAAGTGCTAGGATTATAGGCATGAGTTACTGCACTTGGCCAGTTTTTCTGACAAAACGTTTGGTTTAAGCACTTATTATTTTTAAACCAACTAATCAAAGCTCTTTTATTTCACACACACAACACGTATAAATACACAGACAGAAGAAGATCCAGTAGTTGTAAGATTTTTCATTCACCAGTTTCTTTTTTTTTTTTTTTTTGAGACAGAGTCTGGCTCTGTCGCCCACGCTGGAGTGCAGTGGCGCGATCTCGGCTCACTGCAAGCTCCACCTCCCGGGTTCACGCCATTCTCCTGCCTCAGCCTCCCGAGTAGCTGGGGCTACAGGCGCCCGCCACCACGCCTGGCTAATTTTTTTGTATTTTTAGTAGAGACGGGGTTTCACCATGTTAGCCAGGATGGTCTCGATCTCCTGACCTCATGATCCGCCCACCTCGCCCTCCCAAAGTGCTGGGATTACAGGCATGAGCCACCGCGCCCGGCCCACCAGTTTCTTAAATTGGATTATTGGCTTCAAAGTGGAGCCCCTGGAGGCACAGGGCCAGGAAAGCATGCAGCTTCTATAGCCAAATAAACAAGCACAGCTGGAAGCAAAACAGACCCCAGAAACGAAGGGTCCCATTTTTACACTGGATCCTAAAAGATCCTAAAAGAGAAACACTACAGAACCAGACAATGCAATGATCTTACAGTGCATTTCACTGCACAGCAATCCAAAGCCAATCAGTCCATTTTGTAATTAGCCCATCTCCCATGGGGGTCATCTCTGGGGGCGCTGGGCGCATTTCCACACCTTCTAGGTGGCCAGGAGCTTCTCTAATCCAAACATGCAAAGACCAGGCATTCACCCTTAACTGCCATTAGCCCCCCTTAAAAGTTATTACACATCAAAGCTCTCTCATAATGCGAGGTAATTTCTAGTACCCCCAAAAGTCAAAAACGTCAGATAACGCAATGTAAAACAGAACAGAGCCTTAGATTTTGAGAAAGATCTATCCACTTTTAATTCTTGGGGTTCCATGAGGAAAACAGAGTTGTTTTTTCCAGAACAGGGTCTGTGGCGCCTCCTCCTTTTTTGCCCAGGCTGTTAGAGCATGAATATCCACTTTTAACCAAACTTACTGTTAACCATAGTGCTCTTAAAAAAAAAAAAAAAAAAGACTCCTTTTAAATCTCGTATTGCCCAGCTTTAGCCAGGCCAAACAGCCAACATTTCTGCCTTTTGAACTTTACCAAAGGTAACCTCACAGGTGTTCAGAGAAAGAAAAAGTCAAGACAGTTCCTGAAAGGGAAGATAATTAATAAATGGTAAAGGTCACTCAAATATCAAACCAGAAACAACTCATTCCCTAAGTCAGGAATTGAACCCTGAACCCAGGCCACCATCCTGAAAGGACAGAGCCTCAGCTACTGAGCTACGGCACTGAGCAGTCTCCACTGCCCTTTCCAGAAGGAGCCTAACGCAGCCAATTTTGAGCTTGCAAAGGCTTCTAACTGCTCAAGATAATTTTTAGGACTATGACATGAACCCCCAAACTCCTGTCCACTGGATGGTGGAAGCCAAGAGAAAAAACCGCCACATGGTTACCAGGTCAGAGTCCCAAGGACATGAAACAAGACGAAAGGGAGAATTCATCCTTTTGTTTCCTAGAAACCTGCAGCACAGTTTATAACTGAGCGGTTTGCTGAGCCATCTCAAACAGCAGGTGCCTAGGCCTGCATTCTATACCCCTCTTTATGACAAAACAATACAGGAAGACACATAAAGCACCTCAGATTCGCTACAGTTTAAGACTAGCCTTGGCCAGGCATGGTGGCTCATGCCTGTAATCCCAGCACTTTGGGAGGCTGAGGCAGGTGGATCACCTGAGGTCAGGAGTTTGAGACCAGCCTGGTCAACATGGAGAAGCCCTATCTCTACTAAACACACACACACACACACACACACACAAATTAACCAGGCATCGTAGCGCACGGCTGTAATCCCAGCTACTCAGGAGGCTGAGGCAAGAGAATCTCTTGAACCAGGGAGGCGGAAGTTGCAGTGAGCCAGGATCACGCCACTGCATTCCAGCCTGGGTGACAGAGCAAGACTCTGTCTCAGAAAAAAAGGAAAGAAAGAAAGGCTAGGCTCACGAATCCTTTTTCCCATTAGTCCGAACTTTACAGGAGATAAACAGTGATTTTTACCATTCATTCAACCAGTTTGCACAGAGAGAAAGAAAGAGGCCAGAAGTCTGACTGGTAAGAAATTCTCACCCTTTTGCTGGTATGTCAGGGTTCTGGGTTCCCTCTCCCTAAGCGGCCCTGGTGACCCAGCTGGCTGCACCACAGCCCTGGGGCCAAGCGGCAACACAAAGGAAAATTATCTTTGTTCTGGCCAGAGTAAAATACGTGTGACAAAACATAGACATTAGCCACTCTGCTTAGCACCCAATATCAAACTGGCAAGGTTCAAATTTGCCCCCGTCATCGTTAATCCAACCTCCAACCCTCCAACATGTAGTCTTTGGGCAAGACGGTCTCTCTGACTAAGAGAAAAGTTAAGAAAGGGAAAGATCAGGAAGGGAGAAAAGCATTGCCTGAGGCAGGGTGGGGAAGGCGAGTGGCTCAGAGAGGCCAGAGTAAGACCCACCCTTCCCAGTGACACTGAATCAAAAGCTCAGGAGGCCGCTGTCAGTCAAGAAGGGCTCTTTCCCAGTAGTCCCATCAGCTCTTTTTTTTTTTTTTTTTGCGACGGAGTCTCACTCTGTCACCCAGGCTGGAGTGCAGTGGTGCAATCTTGGCTCGCTGCAACCTCTGCCTCCCGGGTTGAAGCAATTCTCCTGCCTCAGCCTCCCAAGTAGCTGGGACTACAGGCACCTGCCACCATGCCCGGCTAATTTTTGTATTTTTAGTAGAGACGGAGTTTCACCACGTTGGTCAGACTGCTCTCAAACTCCTGACCTCAGGTGATCCGCCCACCTTGGCCTCCCAAAGGGCTGGGATTACAGGCGTGAGCCACCACGCCCGGCCCCATTAGCTCTTAAGTGTCTCACTTTGGGAAGGAAAAAGCTCCACGTGTCCCATGATCCTGCACATGCCTAATTCTGTCACCCACAGCCATCAGCAAAGACTGCAAGGCAGTCTACTCCAAAGACAACAGCGGTTAACATCCCATAGTACCAAATCCATTCTTAGCCAAGAGGAACTTTACCGAGTGGGCTTCTAAACCCCTAAATCTTAGAAGGGACTCTAACCATCCTAAGTTGGGCCTCAAACCCAGGTTTGGTCAGGCATCCTTGCCTTTTATTAAGAGGGGCCTTGCTGAGCACAGTGGCTCACGCCTGTAATCTCAGCACTTTGAAAGGCCAACGCGGGCGGATCACCTGAGGTTAGGAGTTCGAGACCAGACTGGCCAACATGGTAAAACCCTGTATCTACCAAAAAATACAAGAAAAAAACAACTGGCTGGGCCTGATAGTGCGTGCCTATAGTCCCAGCTACTCGGGAGGCTGAGGCAAGAGAACTTCTTGAACCCGGGAGGCAGAGGTTGCAGCGAGCCGAGATCACGCCACTGCACTCCAGCCTGGGCAACAAGAGCGAAACTCCGTATCGGAAAAAACAAAAACAAAAAACAAAAACAGAGGCCTTTAACCCTCTTGGTCTTAGGAGAGACTCTAACTCCCCTAAGCTGGGCCTCTAACGCAATCCCATCCTTTACTCGGGTACCTACCACTTACCCAAAGTTGGCCAATTTGTGCTGCAGTCTATTTCCTTTGGGTCAGGGGTCTCCTCAGTATCATCCCTTCTGTGGTTTGACAGAACGATGTCGCCAGAAAGGAGTCCCAATCCGACCCCAAAAGAGGGTTCTTGGATCTTGCACATGAAAGAATATGAGGCAAATCCATAAAGTGAAAGCAAGTTTATTGAGAAAGTAAAGGAACAAGATCTTTCATTTTCCAGGTGGGCCTAAATGTCTCCCTGAATGCCATAAGTTGAAGCAGAGGGTGACTAGACGCCAACATGGCACAGTGTGGCACTGAAGCTGCTGGCTCTGAAGATGAGGAGGGAGGCCTCAGGGAGGCGCTGAGCCAGTCACCTCCTTCACGAAACCCACCTTGCTCTGCAGCTGCCTGCTCACAGCCATGCCCCGATGCCACACCCAGGGGTTCTCGGGGAACATTAATGGAATGAAGGAGTAAGAAAATCAAAGGTCACCAAGCCGAGCCCTTAAAGGGCAATGATGTGTGTGCCACAGGGCCCCATGGCATCTCGTGCCAGCTGAGCTGGGGTGTGTGGACCCGGGGAATGGACCTGGCTGGACAGCCTCTAAGGCTTGGCTCCATCTCAGCCTGTGAAGGAATCACTTCTCTGACCCCCACCTCTGCCCAGGAGTGTTAGAGCCAGGGAGGAAGAGACCCCATGGACCAGCCAGAGGACCCCAGCTCCAGGTGAGTGCTGGCTCCAGGGTGGTCACTGGGAATCAGCTGGTCTCAGCCCTCTGGGGCCTCCAGCTCACCCGCTGACTCCCTCGGGCTCTCCACCCTTGTCCACATCCTTCCCCACCCTCACCCCTAGGCTCAGGAGTCTAAGGACTGCCTCCCCACAGAGGGCATTTGTGAAGTCTGTTCCCCACCAGAGGCTCAGACTCAGGCCCTGGTGCAAGGCCCCCAAGCTGGGCCTCACCAAAAGGCAGCCAGGTGGGGACCCCAGGAATACAGCCTGGGCCTGGCAGTGTCTGCTGTCATAGAGGCCAGTTCTGCTCCCGCTCGGGAAGAGAGGGAAAAGAAGGAAAGGGAGGAAAGGGGGTTCAGGGTCTCTTGGAAATACCTCCCTCAGGGCATGTGACCTGGCCTGGGGTATGGAAGAACAGGAGCAGAGAGGGAGGTGCAGGGGAGGAAGGTGCCCCCCAGAGCTCAGGTCGGCGGTGGCCAGTGTCCACTTCACCCTCAGAGGGCGAAGAACACCAAGATGCCCCGACCCGGGTCCGGGGACGTTGGAGGGCAAAGTCTGGGGTCACTCCCCGTTGCCCCCTTCCCCCACCCCATGGATCCAGCTTGGCCCGGGGCTCCCTGAGGCCCTGCCCGCGGTGGGTTCTCAAACGCCAGAGTCGGGGGTGGGCGGGGGTCACCCGAGGGCCGCTCCCAGATGACCCACGCCCGCCCGTCTCCAGCACCGGGCTGCGCCTCGCGGTGGCCCGCGAGCTGCTCCTGGCTGCGCTGGAGGAACTGAGCCAAGAGCAGCTGAAGCGCTTCCGCCACAAGCTGCGCGACGTGGGCCCGGACCGACGCAGCATCCCGTGGGGGCGGCTGGAGCGCGCGGACGCCGTGGACCTCGCGGAGCAGCTGGCCCAGTTCTATGGCCCGGAGCCTGCGCTGGAGGTGGCCCGCAAGACCCTCAAGAGGGCGGACGCGCGCGACGTGGCGGCGCAGCTCAAGGAGCAGCGACTGCGGCGTGAGTTCCGGGCGGGAGGTCCCTCCTGTCTGGACAGAGGCTGGGCCGCCTTCCTCCCGGCTTCCCCGAGAAGCCCCGGCGCGGCCCCCGACCCCCGCGCGTTTTATCCACAAATTCGCGGGCCCCAGGGGTAGGATCCTGCGTGCTCCTCAGGGTGACTTGGACCCCAGTGGCGCCTTCCCCCGGTTCCCCGCCCTCGGCGGAACCTCACCCCAGTTTCCCTTCCAGGGCTCGGGCTCGGCTCCGCGGCGCTGCTCTCCGTGTCCGGTGGGTCTCTCTTGCTGGGGGGCACGCGTGTCCCAACCCCACTTGGAGGGTCTGGGGGAGGACCGGGGTGGGAGGGCCGCCAGGGGCGTGGGCCGTGGTCCAGTAGAGGAAACTGAGGCCTGAGCAGAGCCGGGGAGGGCGTGGGCTCCCAGAGGGCGCAGCCTGCCCCACCGCCGACCCCTGTCCCCGCGCTGTCTCCCGCTGCGCCCAGAGTACAAGAAGAAGTACCGGGAGCACGTGCTGCAGCTGCACGCCCGGGTGAAGGAGAGGAACGCCCGCTCCGTGAAGATCACCAAGCGCTTCACCAAGCTGCTCATCGCGCCCGAGAGCGCCGCCCCGGAGGAGGAGACGCTGGGGCCTACGGAGGAGCCTGAGCCGGGGCGCGCGCGGCGCTCGGACACGCACACTTTCAACCGCCTCTTCCGCGGCGACGAGGACGGCCGGCGGCCGCTGACCGTGGTGCTGCAGGGCCCGGCGGGCATCGGCAAGACCATGGCGGCCAAAAAGATCCTGTACGACTGGGCGGCGGGCAAGCTGTACCAGGGCCAGGTGGACTTCGCCTTCTTCATGCCCTGCGGCGAGCTGCTGGAGCGGCCCGGCACGCGCAGCCTGGCTGACCTGATCCTGGACCAGTGCCCCGACCGCGGCGCGCCGGTGCCGCAGATGCTGGCCCAGCCGCAGCGGCTGCTCTTCATCCTGGACGGCGCGGACGAGCTGCCGGCGCTGGAGGGCCCTGAGGCCGCGCCCTGCACAGACCCCTTCGAGGCGGCGAGTGGCGCGCGGGTGCTGGGCGGGCTGCTGAGTAAGGCGCTGCTGCCCACGGCCCTCCTGCTCGTGACCACGCGCGCCGCGGCCCCCGGGAGGCTGCAGGGCCGCCTGTGTTCCCCGCAGTGCGCCGAGGTGCGCGGCTTCTCTGACAAGGACAAGAAGAAGTATTTCTACAAGTTCTTCCAGGACGAGAGGAGGGCCGAGCGCGCCTACCGCTTCGTGAAGGAGAACGAAACGCTGTTCGCGCTGTGCTTCGTGCCCTTCGTGTGCTGGATCGTGTGCACCGTGCTGCGCCAGCAGCTGGAGCTCGGCCGGGACCTGTCGCGCACGTCCAAGACCACCACGTCCGTGTACCTGCTTTTCATCGCCAGCGTGCTGAGCTCGGCTCCGGTAGCCGACGGGCCCCGGGTGCAGGGCGACCTGCGCAATCTGTGCCGCCTGGCCCGCGAGGGCGTCCTCGGACGCAGGGCGCAGTTTGCCGAGAAGCAACTGGAGCAACTGGAGCTTCGTGGCTCCAAAGTCCAGACGCTGTTTCTCAACAAAAAGGAGCTGCCTGGCGTGCTGGAGACGGAGGTCACCTACCAGTTCATCGACCAGAGCTTCCAGGAGTTCCTCGCGGCACTGTCCTACCTGCTGGAGGACGAGGGGGTGCCCAGGACCGCGGCTGGCGGCGTTGGGACACTCCTGCGTGGGGACTCCCAGCCGCACAGCCACTTGGTGCTCACCACGCGCTTCCTCTTCGGACTGCTGAGCGCGGAGCGGATGCGCGACATCGAGCGCCACTTCGGCTGCGTGGTCTCAGAGCGTGTGAAGCAGGAGGCCCTGCGGTGGGTGCAGGGACAGGGGCAGGGCTGCCCCGGAGTGGCACCAGAGGTGACCGAGGAGACCAAAGGGCTCGAGGACACGGAAGAGCCAGAGGAGGAGGAGGAGGGAGAGGAGCCCAACTACCCCCTGGAGTTGCTGTACTGCCTGTACGAGACGCAGGAGGACGCGTTTGTGCGCCAAGCCCTGTGCCAGCTCCCGGAGCTGGCGCTGCAGGGAGTGCGCTTCTGCCGCATGGACGTGGCTGTTCTGAGCTACTGCGTGAGGTGCTGCCCTGCCGGACAGGCACTGCGGCTGATCAGCTGCAGACTGGTTGCTGCACAGGAGAAGAAGAAGAAGAGCCTGGGGAAGCGGCTGCAGGCCAGCCTGGGTGGCAGCAGGTGCGTCTCCAGGGCAGAGATGCTTTCTTGTGTGTGAGGTGTGTGTGCGGGTGCAAACCTGTGCACCTCAGTGTCCATCTGGCATGGGGAGCACGTCCAGACCAGACCTTGGCTCCCCAAAAGGGGAGCCTTTGACCACCCCCTTGCAAGGCAACCACTGAGTTCCTATCTTCTTCCCCAGGGTGTCCTCACCATGCCCACCCTCAGCCACCCACAACCTATGAAAACTTCCTAGTATGTCCCTACAGCTCTGGCCCAGCCCTTCTTCCCATTATATGTCCTGACAATAAGTTCTGGAACACACGATGCCCTCTGTCCTGAGCCTCTGCACTTACCCTTCCCTCCACCTAGAATATTCTCAGTTTGCTGCCTGTCCTACAAGTCTGCCCTGGCTCCCCCACCTGGCTGGGGACTCAACTGGCTCCAGAAGTGCCCTTTTGACCATCCTGCTATGACATCTGCCCCACACCTCCACCAGACCCTCAGCTCCTCCCGGGCAAGGCTTTTGCCAGAGTTCCCTTGAATTTAGCTCCAATTCAGCCCCTGCCCAGGTGCTTGGCATCTGTTGAGAGGATGAATGTCACGATGTTGGCAGGGACTGGGCCTGGGGACCCAAAGGCCCATGTGGGGGATGTGGGTGATACTCAGACACCCCAGGGGGATGGTGCCTGGGCCACAGATGAGTGGTTTTGCTCTGGGTGTGGTGGGGGGAGCGTGAAGGGAGTGACTTCACACTCCTCACCTTCAGCATGGAGGTAAGGAGGAGGGGCAGCTCTGAGACCCCAGGACCAGAGATAGGCAGGAGTCCTTTCTGGGAGGCACTGTGAGGGGCAGGGTGGGCTTCACCTTCCTCTCTCTCCCAGCAGTTCTCGAGGCACCACAAAACAACTGCCAGCCTCCCTTCTTCATCCACTCTTTCAGACAATGACTGACCCGCTGTGCCGTCTGACCAGCCTCACGTGAGTGGCCACACCCCCAGCCCTTCCTGTGGAGCAGACTAAGAGCAGGACGCCCTGGGAGAGACAGAAGTGTGGCCTAGGAAAGAAGGCTGAGGGGTCAGGCCAGAGCCTGAGGCCTGTGGGTGCTGGGACTGGCAGGCTCTCCTCACACAGAGCGGAGGGAGGAGGGGGTGGGGGTCTGGAGCTTCATTACCAGGTTAGGTACTGGTAGGAAAAGGTTGGTCCTGGTGTGAGTGGAAAGCAGCGAAGCATACTGAGGGAGGGATTAGAGAAGACAAGAGTGTATTTTCCTTCTGAAGGAAGGAAACTGCAGTTGGAAACTGCTGGGTTCTTAGAAGCAGTGGAGGAAGGCGTTCAAGCCCAGGCTCCGAAGTCAGGCTGTCTGCAAATCCCAGCCTGCTTCTGTGTGCCCAGTGGCAAGTCCATCTGTCCAAGCTTCCATTTCCCGCCCTGTGAAATGGAGCCAGTAGATCTAGAGAGTTGGGGTGAGATTTAATGTGGCCACACATGTACAGTTCTTACATGGCAATAACTTTCCAGTCACTCTTAGCTACCACCAAGTGAGCAGAAAGGAAGAGAAAATCTAGGAACTAGTACTGATGATGAAACAGGTACATCCTACATGGATGGCGACTCAGCAGATTAGCTTGGTACGGGGGTAGGGGTGTGGCAATCTGGACATAAGCATAAGAGCCAAAAAGGTGATCGCATTTGGCTCAGCAATCCTGCTGGTAAACTAAGATGTTCAGCACACCATTATTTATAATGGCAAAAAAAAAAAAAAAAAGGAGAAACACCACAACTCCCCAACCATCAGGACTGGCCGACGAAATAAACTGAGTCGGCCACCTCAGCTTGGTGGACAATCGTGCGGCAAACATGTTGAAACACGTCTCAGCTCACCAAAGAGCTCGTTGAGAGTGTTGTAGGGAGAAATGGACACAGCTCCTGGGGGTGCGTGGTGACAAAGGGCACGGCAGGCTCTGTGGGGTCCAGCGAGGGATGTGGTGCCAACACATCTCTCAGCTGAACCTTGGGCCACTGGGGAGCGGGCAGTTTATCCAGTTGGAGGTGGTGTGGTGGCTGAGGTGCCCACAGGTAAATCTATGTGCTTCTCGACCACAGGCTGTCCCACTGCAAAGTCCCTGACGCAGTCTGCCGAGACCTCTCTGAGGCCCTGAGGGCAGCTCCGGCACTGACAGAGCTGGGTCTCCTCCACAACAGGCTCAGTGAGGCAGGACTGCGTATGCTGAGTGAGGGCCTAGCCTGGCCCCAGTGCAGGGTGCAGACGGTCAGGTGAGGCCTGGCTTGGGAGGGACCATGGGATGCCCCCACCACCACCCCAGCAGCTCCTGAGGTCTGCCCTCCCACAGGGTACAGCTGCCCAGCTCCCAGCAAGGGCTCCAGTACCTGGTGGGTATGCTTCGGCAGAGCCCCGCCCTGACCACCCTGGATCTCAGCGGCTGCCAACTGCCTGCCCCCATGGTGACCTACCTGTGTGCAATCCTACAGCACCAGGGATGCGGCCTGCAGACCCTCAGGTGGAGGCAGGGGTGGGAAGGGTGCTGGGGACACAACCCGTCAACCCAGGTGGGGGTGGGTGCCTGGGGGCTTCCCCTGAACCCTGAAGAGGAGCCTCTCCCAGGGACCTCCCACGTGACAGAGCTCAAACACCGACCTGGGAGCCCGGCCCTGACAGGCCTGCCCTCTGAAGCCCTGGCCACAGCTCCGGGCCTTGACCACTTTGCCTGACCAAATGTTCATCTGTTGTCTGGTGCCCATGGCCGCACCCTGGGCCAGTGGCCCCGATACCCTTTTGCCACCCCCAAGGCCTGGCCTCTGCCCCTCCCCTAGCCTCTGACAAACCTCTCAACTGACACCGCCTGTCCCTGAGTGTCTGTGGCACAGCTAAGCCGACAGCCCCGTCACTGACCGAAGCTCGGCTGCTCCCACAGCACTGCCCGCAAGCCCTGGCTGCTTTCCCCCACCGCTGACCCTGCTTCTGCTCTGTGTGTGTGGCTGCAGGCTGACCTCTGTGGAGCTGAGTGAGCAGTCACTACAGGAGCTTCAGGCTGTGAAGAGAGCAAAGCCGGATCTGGTCATCGCACACCCAGTGCTGGACGGCCACCCAGAATCTCCCAAGGAACTCGTCTCAACCTTCTGAGGCACTGGTGGCCACAGCAGGGTGGAAGACCCTAGTCAAAGTCCCTATGGAGAGAACGACCCATTCCAAGGGCGGGAGGACATTGCTCTCAGCCTCTGGGAAACTTCTGAGCTGAGAGGCCCCGGACAGGCATGTGGGAGGCCCAGACATGGCACCCTGCCCCGTCCAGGACAGGTCCAGGATCTGCCCCTCTCTCCATACTCTGGAGGACTCCTTCTCCCCCGGCCTCACCACTACTGCACCCACCTTCCTCTCCTGGGCCCCTCCAGCCATTCCCCTTGAAGACACCCCCCAACCAACCCAAGCCACAATAATGATGGTGAGAGCTCCTACCTGGGGCACAATGACCCTTCTCTGCCCAACCCCCATCTGCAGTGTGGCCCAGCAGCCCCCAGGACTGTGCCCCTGTAGACCGAAGGTAGGCAGGTCACCGTCCCTCCCTGTTAGGAATGAGACCATCCCTGAGGCTGTGGCCCAGGCCCAGAGGTGTCCAGGGTCTGAGATCTTTGGGAAGGGAGACTAGGGCAGGGTAGAGACAGAGCAGAACCCCCGTGCTGGGTGGGGGGCATGACCACATGGCGGGTGAGCAGCTCCCATGCACTGATGATAAATTCTCCTGTGCACTCATTTCTGTTGGCTTCTATTACACCTGGCCAGGCATGGTGCAATCCAGGTCGATGCTCACAGTCTTTCCAGCATCCCACTTTGACAGGGCAGGATGGTGGCCCCCAGTTCCTCAATGAGGAAAGTGAGTCTCAGGGGGCAGGCTGACTGCAGAAAGCGCTGTGACAAGGGCCTTGATGGACAGGACCAGCAGCGGACAGTCCTTGAATCCTGGTGTCTTCTCTGCTCAACCCTACTGGGCTGCTGAGACTCCAGTTGAGTGGGGAGGTGGGGGAGACTCTAGATTCAGCCCCATCACTTCCGAGGGGAAATCTCCTACTATAATCCACTTTCAAACTCCATTTCTTCATATCACAAAACACAAAAAAACCCTGTCCTCCTAGACTTGGCATTCTAGGTAGGAAGACAAACATCTACATGATACATAGTATAATACTATATATATATATCTATGCTACATACACAACACATATGTATGTGATACACAGCGCAATAGCACAAATACTATTATATTATTTATACTAGTATTTATTTAGTATTATACTAAAATATACGTATACGTGTGCCAGGTGTGGTGGCATGTGCCTGTCGTCCCGGATACTCAGGAGGCTGAGGCAGGAGTTCGAGGCTTGAGCCTAGAGTTCGAGGATGCAGTGAGCTATTAGGTTGGTTGGAAAGTAAGCAAAAACCGCAATCACTTCTGCAACAACCTAATCTGATTTTGCTGCTGTACTCTGGCGTGGGCCACAGAAAGAGACCCCATCTCTAACAAGTAAATAAATGTGTCTCTGATACATAAATACACACCACAATCAATAGGCCTATGATGCCTAAACAAGTAACGATGTAATAAAGATGCACAGGTAGGGCTGATAAATGCTGCGGAGGAAAGTAAGGCAGAGCCTGGGACTGGTGGGAATGGAGCCAGGGTTTCCTGTTGCATGAAAGGGGGGTCTGAGGAAGTCTCATTGAGGACTGGCCATTTGAAACCCCAAAGGAGTGAGGGGCAAGCCCCGAAGAGGTCTTGAGAAAAAGTGCTTCAGACAATGATGCTGCCAGAGCAGCCAGGCAGGGGAGTGTGCTTGGAAAGTTCTAGAAGCAGCAAGGAAGCCAGGTAGCCGCAGTGGGGTAGGGGAAGGCGGCAGCGGCAGCGGCAGCGGGGAGATGAGGTCAGGGAACCAAGGCAGGTGCAGGAGAGGGTTTGCGGGTGGAGATTGTTGTATGAGGAGCGCTTCTGGCCCATCCTCAGGGAGTTGGGTGCCATGACTGCCTTCTAGGCAGAGTGCAGGGTCTGCCTTAAATGTTGGGGGTGGAGGTGGTCTGTTCACAACACTCCAGGAGGAGGTGTGGGCGGGTGGAGGTGGAGCCACAGGACCTGTCCGTGGGTTGCATGGAGTGTGGGTGAAGACGGGCAGAGGTAAACCAGGGTTCTTGGCCTGGGCAGCAGGACGGGTGCAGTTATCCTCACCTGTGCTGGGAAGGCTGTGGGAGCAGCAGGCTTCCGAGCATGTGTTGGGCTCCGGTATCTCTGGCTGCACCCAGTGGTCAGGACAGGGACATGAGGGCCGGGTCAGGGAGCGTGAGATACAGGGACAAGCCGGCCCAGGGCTGAGCCCAGCAGTGTCCAGGTGGGCGGTGGCGTTGAGATGGGAATTGGGAACTGCACGGGTGGTTGCAGGAGGATGGAAAAACCCAAACAACAGCTAGAACAGGACCGAGGCAAAGGAACCGCAGGACAACAGAAAACCCCAAATGAGGGCGAGAAAATGGCCAAAACCCCGTGCGAGGGACACGTCCATGACCCTCCCGGCAAAAACCCAAACGAGGGAGAAAGGAGGCAGTCACGGCGGGGGCCGGGGTGTCCCTGAAATCCCCTTCTTTTCCAGAATCCCTAGAGATTATTCCGCCCCCAAGGAGGAGACCCAAGCTCCGCGGAGCGCGGCGGGTCTGCGCCTCCGCTTCGCCTCCTGCCTCTCGCTTCCTCCGACCCCACCCTGAGTTCTTTCCCCTGACGGTGTCGAGAACCCGGGCGCCGGCTGGGGCTGGGGTCTCACTGGCATCGGAGCCCCCCGAGTCCCCCGGCGGCAGCGAGGCGAAGACCCGGGTGGAGGCGGCCGGGAGGGCGCAGGGGGAGGGAGGAGGCGCGGGAGGGAAGCCCCGGCCCGCGGGCCCCACCCACAGCCCCCCGGACACAGCTCCGGGTCCCGGCTCGAGCTCCGCGCACTCAGGGCGCTGCGTGCGGGAAGGCCCCGGACGCGACCCAGGGGAGCCGGGGCTGCAGCCGCGAGTCCACGTCCCGCCCCCGGGCCCAGCGACCGCCCCCGCCGCCCAGCGACCGCCCGGGCCCTCGGGGGCGGGGACCGCGGGCCTTCCTGGTGGCGCGGCAGCCGGGCGGCTCCTCCTTCCCCCGGCCCTGGCGTGGAGCAGAGGGACACAGGTTTCCACGCTGGCGCCCGGCGACCGGGTGGGGCTGCGGTGAGTCCCAGAGGCCCCCGCCCCGCAGCTCCAGGCTTCCTCCCCGCTGCCCCCCGCCCGCCGCCCTCCCAGCCTCCAGTCGCCCCCCTCCAGCGACTCCAGCCGCCCCATCCTCCCTCCCGACCCCCGCCTGCCCCAGTCGCCCACACCCCCGAGACCCCCACCCGCCTAGTGCCCCATCCCCCCAGGGCCCCTGGCAGCCCCAGACTCCCTCCCCCATCCCGCCCAGCGCTCCCCCCTCACCACACCCACCCCGCCCTCGTCCCCACTTCCACTTCCCACCGACAGACGCAGGTCCCGACCTCAGAGGGTGGGGGCAAGACCGGGGTTGTGGGGGCGGTCTTTGGGAAAGCAGGGTTAGGACTGGAATCTAAGGTGCCAGGTGGGAGAGACAAACTTAGGGACTCAGCTGGGCTCCCGGAAATCAACCTCAGGGGTCTGAGCTCCGTTCCTGGGTGTTTTCCTCCTAGGAGGGGCCTCAGGAAAATCGGGGCTGCCCAGCTGGTTCTGCAACTCCCCCCAGTTCTGAGGGAGGCTTCAGGGGATTACAGACGGTCTCAAGAGGGCGGCTCAGCCAGTCCCGGGGCCCCTGAATCCCCATCAGGCCGCTCAGGCCCAGCCCATGGAGGACTCCGGCGAGGACCCCACCACGTTTGCTGCCCACTCGCTGCCCAGTGACCCCCGTCTCTTGGCCACTGTGACCAACGCATACCTGGGCACACGAGTGTTTCATGACACGCTGCACGTGAGCGGCGTGTACAATGGGGCTGGCGGGGACACGCACCGGGCCGTGCTGCCCAGCCCCCTCAACGTCCGGCTGGAGGCCCCTGCAGGGATGGGGGAGCCGCTGACCGAGACCTTTGCCCTAGACACCAACACAGGTATCGCCGCCTGGCCTGCCTCACCCCTGCCCCAGACATTGTTCCAGGCCAGTGGGGGAAATCCCACCAGCACCTCCTGAGTTTACACGGGAAGTCTCACTAACACAGGAGGCCAGAGACCCGCAGGGTCCCCCTTTCCCTCTGCCTGGAGGCCTCCTGTGCAGCTGTAGCAAGAAAGAGCAGCCCAGGGTCCGGAGGGATCCGCCTCATTGTGGGGAGAGGCCACGGTGGGGGGTCCACTCCTGCGCCAGGGAGGCCGTAGCTTGGCCACCCACCTGGAGTGGTCCTGCCTTCCCTTCTGCCTCCCCAGGCTCCTTTCTTCACACCCTGGAGGGCCCCCACTTCCGGGCCTCGCAGTGCATCTATGCGCACCGCACACTGCCGCACGTCCTGGCTTTCCGTGTGTCCATCGCCCGCCTGTCCCCGGGGAGCGGGCCCATCACGCTGCTGCTGTCCTCAGCCTTCTCCCCGGAAAGCCCAGACCTGGACCTGCACCAGGGTCCTGACTTTCAGGGAGCCAGGTAAGGAGGGGGCTGGATTTGCGGCCAGGGAGTTCGGGAGGGAGCTCACTCCTGAGGCGTGGCCATACTCTCACAGGTACCTGTATGGCCACACGCTCACCCCTGAGCAGCCCGGGGGGCCACAGCAGGAGGTACACATGCTGTGGACACCAGCACCCCCAGACCTGACCCTTGGGGAAGGTGAGGAGGAAAGGACATGGGACTTCCTGACGGTGGTGGGCGGCAGCCGGGCTGAGGCTCAGGCCTGCCTCACTGAGGCCCTGCAGCTGCAGGCCAGGGGAGCTCTGTACACGGCTCACGCACAGGCCTGGGCCCAACTCTGGGCAGAATGTGGCTTGGACATGGTGGGGCCCCTGCCGCTGCGCCAGGCCCTGCGTGGCTCCCTCTACTACCTGCTCAGTGCCCTACCCCAGCCCAAGGCCCCAGGATACATCTGCCATGGCCTCAGTCCTGGGGGCCTCTCCAATGGGAGCCGTGAGGAATGCTACTGGGGCCACGTCTTCTGGGACCAGGTGAGCATTGTACACCCAGCACCAGCCACACAGCAGGCGACACATGGAGGTCCACGGTCTCTGCCCTCCCTGGCATCAGGGCTGTGGCTGGGGAAGCACAGGGACTGTGGCAAAAGGGAAGGGGCCTGGAAAAGGTGGCATCTCAACAGGAGGGTGGCAGAGGAGTGATCTAGGTGAGGGGAATGGAAGGTGCAGAGACCAGAACTGAGAGGGCCTGAGGCACCTGCCAGGGCGTGGGGAGGGGCCCCCACCAAGGCGAGAAGGGCTGCAGACCCAGGTCGCCAGGGTTTATAGGCAGCGGTGTGGTGCTTGGCGTTTACCTGAGGGCCAGTGAGCTGCAGAGACCTATCAGGACGGGGACCTGTGGGGACCGGGAATACCTGTGTGGCTGCTGCGTGGAGCCCGGTGCTGGAGGCCGGCGAGGGTGACGGGGACACTGAGGGCACAGGGTAGAGGGGCGTGATGGCTGCTGGGCATGCAGGTGTCGAGAGTGGGGGCGCTGGAGCTGAGCTTCCCTGTGCCGCTGCTGTGGCGTTTCTTTGATGAGGCTCCCAGAGGCGTTCATTGCGGGCCGGCCGGCCTGAGGCCGCCCATGCCCATGTTCGGGCCGAGCCTCGGAGGCCACACAAATTCTGGCTGGGGAGGCGCAGTGTGGGGCTGAGGACCAGAACTCCAGGAGCCTCCGGGCTGGAGACAGAACTGGGTGGGCAGGTGGGGAGGGTCTGCAGATCTGAGTGGGCAGCAGAGGAGGAACCCAGAGGGCGCCAACAATGGAGCTCTGCCAGGGCGGAACGTGGCCAGCAGGGGCGGGAGCCGTGAGGGCCTGTCCGGCGCTGGAACGAGGGACTGTGCTCTCAGGACCTCTGGATGTTCCCGAATATCCTGATGTTCCACCCCGAAGCCGCCAGGGCCATCCTGGAGTACCGCATCCGCACGCTGGGCGGGGCCCTGGGGAATGCCCAGAACCTGGGCTACCAGGTGAGGGGACCTGGGCACTGGCCACAGGGCCTTGCAGGGCCTGCAGCCCCCACACCCCTCCCAGGCCTGTATCCCTCTCCCCAGGCCCCCTCTCTGGACAGAGCTGGGATGTCCTAGATTCCCCACCCTGAGGCTTGTGGGGCCTCAGCAGTGTCCCCCCCCGCACCTGAGAGAGAGAGGAGGTGGGAACCGCAGCAGGGCTGGGACCCCACTTTGGCCCAGGACCCCCTGGGGTGCCCCTACTGCCCTGCACCAGGGTCAGCACTGGGTGAGAACTGGGCAGAAGCTACGTGGCCCCCAGTGAGGACGTGCAGTGGGCACTTCTCGCAGTAGCATCCACCAGGGTACCTGGCGCAGGCCGTGCCCCCCTCCTCCAGGGCGAGGGCGTGGGAAAGTTGATGGGCCACCCCTCGCCTCCAACAAGGCCAAGTCTGCCCCCTCCCAACCCCTCAGGGAGCCAAGTTTGCCTGGGAGAGTGCAGGCTCCGGCCTGGAGGTTTGCCCTGAGGACATTTACGGAGCCCAGGAGGTCCATGTCAACGGGGCCGTGGTGTTGGCCTTCGAGCTGTACTACCATACCACCCAGGTGAGGTGTGCCTGCCCACCATTCCTGCAAGGGGGCCAGGCAGCTGGTGTAGCCCCCACTCCTCGTGGCTCTATCTGGGGCTGGTCCTGGGAAGTTGGCTGAGGACGGTTGTCTCAGTGCCAGGCCCTGTTTGGGGCCGGTCCTGGAAAGCTGGGGCTGAGGACAGTTGTCTCAGTGCCAGGCCTTGCTTCTGGGCACAGACAGGCCACTGGGAATGAGAGTGACTGGGGCCCTGGCCTCTGTGCCGTCTCCTGCTCCCCAGGACCTGCAGCTCTTTCGAGAGGCTGGTGGCTGGGACGTGGTCAGGGCTGTGGCCGAGTTTTGGTGCAGTCGTGTGGAGTGGAACCCCAGGGAGGAGAAGTACCACCTGAGGGGTGAGGGCCACAGTGGGGAGGGGCTCAGGGAGGAAGGGTGGATGTTCCCAGACTCAGCAGATGTTTTCAGACACCTCACGTGTGCCAGCCCCACGCCGACCGCCGGCGTGGAGGGAAGGCCTCTGAGGCTCTGCACTGAGCACCATCTTGGACTTGTGTGTCCAGGAGTCATGTCCCCCGACGAGTACCATTCAGGGGTCAACAACTCTGTGTACACCAACGTCCTGGTCCAGAACAGGTCAGACACAAGATCCCCTCACCTCACCCCACCCCTGCCCCAGCTGGAGACCTGCCCCAGTGCCCCCACTCGGCAGGCAGCAGCTGGAAGCGTAGGGGTTGCAGCCTCCCCCACCTACCTCCACCTCCAGCCTGCGTTTTGCTGCTGCCCTGGCCCAGGACCTGGGTCTGCCCGTCCCCAGCCAGTGGCTGGCAGTGGCTGACAAGATCAAGGTACCCTTTGACGTGGAGCAGAACTTCCACCCGGAGTTCGATGGGTATGAGCCTGGTGAGTGACCCCTTCAAGGCCTCCTCCCCTGCCGTCAAGACCCTCGAGTCTGTCCTAGAACACCCCCCAATCAGCAGCACCTCCACGTAGGAGAGGTGGTGAAGCAGGCAGATGTCGTGCTCCTGGGATACCCCGTCCCCTTCTCCCTGAGTCCTGATGTTCGCAGGAAAAACCTGGAGATTTACGAGGCTGTGACATCCCCCCAGGGCCCCGCCATGACCTGGGTGAGCACCGTGGGGCTGGGGGGTTCCTGCCTCAGTGGCTTCAGTCTTCTCTGCCCACGCAGTGGGCCTCACCCCTGTGTGTCCTCTTACCTCTGACCGCAGAGCATGTTTGCTGTGGGCTGGATGGAGCTGAAGGACACAGCGCGGGCCCGGGGCCTCCTGGACAGGAGCTTTGCCAGCATGGCTGAACCCTTCAAGGTCAGCCTGGCCACGCCTGCCTCCCACTGGGCCCCTAGTGGTGGGAGTGGAGCCCGACCTCAGAGCAGGCACGGCAGGGTGCACCCCTGGAGCTTCCTGCTGGATCTTGGGACAGCAGCCCAGAGAGGACGGTGTCCGGGGGGTCCTGGTGTCAGCTGCCCTTGCCCCTGCAGGTGTGGACGGAGAATGCAGACGGGTCAGGTGCTGTGAACTTCCTGACAGGCATGGGGGGCTTCCTGCAGGCGGTGCTCTTCGGGTGCACGGGGTTCAGGTAAGTGCAGAGGCTGGCAGGGGGCAGCCCATACCCCCACCTGCCGCCTCACAAACCTCTCCTCCCGCAGGGTCACCCGAGCAGGTGTGACCTTTGACCCCGTGTGTGTGTCGGGGATCTCCAGAGTGAGCGTCTCTGGCATCTGCTACCAGGGAAACAAGCTCAACTTCTCTTTCTCCGAGGACTCCGTGACCGTGGAGGTCACGGCCCGAGCAGGGCCCTGGGCTCCCCGCCTGGAGGCTGAGCTGTGGCCGTCCCAGGCCTGCCTCTCCCTGTTGCCAGGTAGAAGACCACCCCAGCCCCCAAGAGAAGAGCCCAGGCACCTGTGACCACAGACTGTCCCCTCAGCCTCAGGCTGCCTCTCTCCCTACAGGACACACGGTCTCCTTTCCCCGCTCGGCTGGCCAGATACAAAGGTCACCCGCGAATCTGCCTGGGAGTTCCAGCTCCGGGTTCCCTGGGAGGACTTTTTGAAGATGTTGGGTACCTGCTCCAGAGCCGCAGGGCCCCCTCTGGGTCACCCTTGGTCCCTCCAGCCCCACTGAGTCACTCACCGTGGACCCTGCCCCTGAACAATCAGGAACGTTGGCTTCAGAGATGCCTCTTCCTTCCCTCTGGCCACTCCTGCACCCACTCCTCCTGGACACCCTCGTAGCCTGCCACCCCTCACCTGCAGCCAGGCTCTCAGGGAAGGTCCACGCTGCTTGGCCTGAGTTCAAGGCGTTCTGCCTGTGGCCTGGACTCCCGTGGACCCCCGTGGGCAGGTAGCTTCCCCGTGGCATCCCCACACCACCTCTGCCTGCCCCTGTGGACTGATGCTGTCACGCACCATCCCATGGCACCGCCCCGAGCTCCTGAAGCCAGGGTCTGAGCCGACATCACCTCTGGCCTCTCATCCCCTACTCTCCTGAGAGCCGTGGTCACAGCGGCCGGCCGCTCTGCTGAGATGGCAGAGAGGCAGGTGCAGGCCTCAGCGGGGACAGCAGGGATAAGGGCACGAAGGAAGGGGACTCGGCCCCTTCAGAATTCCTCCAGACTCTCAGGTGCAGCTTTGCCAAAAAGGAACTTTTCACGCCATGCGGCTGTGGGACTTAGTCTCAGTCCCAGGCTCCTCTTGACTCTGGGCAGCCGTAATCAGGTTGGGCGGCCTCTGCCACAGCGTGGGGTGGGATGGCTGTCTTTCCTCAACCACGCAGCTTGTGAGGACGGGTGGGGGAGTGGGAAGTGGGAAGTCACCAGAGAACAGGAGAGAGAGATGAGAGCGAGACCCCAGCGCTCTCCACAGACCAGCCAGAGGGGCTGGAGCCAGACGTGCATGGGTTCAAGGCCCTGGCCCTGCCCAGCCTCTGTCTCGGGGCCTCAGCCCCAGTTTCCCAAGAACAAGATGTGACGGCGTCTGCCGCCGAAACCCTGATGAGGACCAGGCCCCCTGCTCTGCGGTCAGCCTGAGGAATTAAAGCTTTGGTGCTGGGAAGAGTATTATTCCTCTGAGGCATTGTGCTTCCTTCCTTCTGAAGTAAGGGCCGTGCCCTGGGTCCCATTTCCCCTTCCACTTGGGTCGGGAAGCGCAGCAACTTTGAGGCTCACGCTGAGAAACGTGGGTCCCCTCGCGTCTGCACCTCCCTCCTGCACTGGTGCTGCCGCCGCACCCTGTCCTCAGAGGACAGCGGAGCTTCGGATGGAGACTCAGGGAGGGAGGGAGGGAGGCAAGGACGCCTGTGGAAACCTCTTTCAGGCAGCTCTGGGGTGTGGGGATCAGGATGCCTGGGTCTCCAAGGCCTGTCTCTGCCAGAAGCAGTGTGTGGGGGATGCGTGTCTCCAGTGCAGCGCACCCGCGGCCGAGACCAGCACTCAGAGGTTGGCCAGGAGTTCTCTTGGCTGCCCTGACAGGAGCCGCATAGAGTGCAGATGGCTGAGACCTGTGGACACTGCGTGTCTTACGGCAGCTTGCTTGCTGGGGCTCACGGCCACAGTGGAGAGGGGCTGCGGGTCAGGGTGCAGCCCAGCGTGCGGTCCAGTGCCGGGCGCGAGCCTTGGGGAATGCAGCCTGACGCCTCCATGTGGCTGCCCAGTCCCCTACAGGCTCCTTCAGCTGCAGAGCTGGGTCCCATCCAACGCTGCCACTGGGCAGCGAGAGGCAGAGGCAGGTTCCCCGAGGGAAGCATGGGCCCCTTCTCCCACCAGGGTTGTCCCAGCAGGAGCTCATCTTTGCAGTCCCAGAGCCAGGGTGATGTGGGCACAGGTGTCAGGTCAGGGTAGTCGGTAGCCCTGTGCCCACAGGAGAGATGTGGCCTGAAACCTGCTGCATGTGCATGCCACACAGGTGTGTGGTCACCTCTGCACATCCTGAGGTGACCTTTTTGGGGGGTTGTGATGGCCAGTGCATGTGTGCCGGCCTGGCTGGTCAGGGTTCATCCACCTGCCCAGGAGTCTGAGCCTGAGGCAGGGAGGTGCTGGTGACTGTTCCCCCAAGGTGGCTCACCCACAGCACTGGGCGTGGGCCAGGTCGTCCCTGCCCCTCAGTAAGCCTGGGGACTGGCAGACCATCTCATCCCTGGGGACATGTATCCAGCCACACATGGGCTGACCCCCTCCCAGCCTCAGCATCCAACACAGTTTGGTCCCTTCTTAGACCATCCTGGGGCTCAGGGCTGGCACACTGTCTCTATCCCAAGGCAAGCACGGGTGGGCACACTGCCCTTGTCCTTGGTCCACCGTGAGACTGGGCCGGGCTGGCTGGGCCTGCACTCAGAGTCCTGGCCACACCTGCTGGCGGCTGCAGGCATATCACAGATAGGGAGCGCTGCCCAGGGCTCCAAGTAGACCAACTAGATAAAGATTCCCACCCACAGCCCAGGAAGATCCGGCAGGCAAGGGTGAGGGAAGGGCCCCGGGGTGGGGTGCTCAGAATCCCAGGCCACTCTGCAGTTAAGCACCACCTCCCGGCAATGGCTGGCCTCAACAAGGCCCCAGGGCCTCCCTGCAGCCACGGTGTGCATGTCCCTGGCACTCTCCCATCACCAGGCTGTGGTGGGGGTGTGTGGGGAGGCAGTGGTGCACAATGCAGGTAAAATCATATGAGAACATGCGCCCCATGGTGCACGCACCCATACACCAGGGGACTCAGTGCAGGTAAAATAATGTGAGAACAAGCATCCAGCACCAGGGGACTCAGAAAATGTCACACACACACCCATTTTCTGTCTTTCTGGATACAGTTTGGTTGGTGTGTGTGTGAGAGAGAGAGAAAGGGGAGCTGCTATCCTGCCCACATGTGTATGTGTGTGTATCCAGCCCCGCCCATGGGATGGTCCCCGCCCTGCCTTCCCAGTCACCCTCACTGGCTCAGGAGGGAGGGAAACCGCCGTGGGGACTGGGATTTCTCAGAATTAAGGGGGCAGACAGAGTGACCCAGAAGGAAGGAGGCATACACCAGACCCCAGATGGGGCCCACACAACAGGCACGGACCCTCACGCAGACTTCGAGCACGCACACGCATGTGCACAGAGAGATGGGGCGGGCACACGTGGAGTTGGGACGCACCCATGATGTTCTGGGGCACAGGCCACTAAACCACAGAGCAGCAGAGATCAAAGGCCTGGGCTTCAAACTTAGTTTAAAATACTCTGGGCCTCCACCCCATAAGCCACAGGCTGCCAGTGGCTGAGAGAAGCGGACAGTGGGGGCAGGGCAGGGCTGCTGTGCTGCTGCCGGGGGCACTCCCACCGTTCACTCAGGGTCGGCCGTGGCATTTGGCTTTGCTGGTCCCTAGGGCAGCTCCTTCCCCCACACTAGGCAGGAAAGAGGCCCAGGCAGCACTTTCTGGAACCAGGCACTTTTAATCGTGGAACCGAGGGGCCTGGAGTGTGAGGAGGGAGGGGCAGGGCTGGGGGCAGAGTTAGGGCCCGGGAACCCTCAGGTTAGGGTGAGGACCCTGGGGTCTGACTGGGTCAGCGTTAGGTGCCCATGTTGGGGCTGGAGGGCCCCAGGTTCAGGATGGGGCAGGGATGGAGGCCCTACAGAAGGAGGGCCAGGCTCCGGGGAGTCACTACTGAGCCCCAGGGGCAGCAGCCTGGGGTCAGTGTCCTGGGGCTGGGACAGGACCCAGATCAGGACCCATCCTGTCAGTCATAGTCCCCATCGTCAAATTTGGTGCTGAAGAAGGCGGCAGAGTCCTTGGCCAGCCGGGCCAGGTGCAGGGCACCAGTCACCACCAGCCCCAGGAGCAGCAGGGGCGGCACCAGCGTCCACATCGCGGCCAGGATGTTGTAGCACTTGGCCTTGGAGCCAAAACGCCGGGCCGCTTCCAGGTCGCCAACCACCTTCTGATCTCGGGCCTGCAGAGAGACCGCAGGGCCAGATGGCTTTGTGTCCTCGGGGCCTGGGGGCCCTTCCCCACTCCCACCTAGGGCACCTGGAAGGCCCCTGATGGACCCAAAATCTGGATGGAGGGTTGTGGCCTGAGGAGATACTCCCCGGGGCCCCAGCTATGGACCCAGGGGCCGTCCCAGGCCAGTGTCAGCCTATCAGAGTTCTCTACGGGTGAGGGTCCTCCAGGGTGCGGAGACACCCCCAATCCTGCCACCCAGGGGCTGAAGTCAAAGGGACCTCTGTTCCAGGAGACCCCAGCATGTGAAACCCCTTGATTGCAGAGACCTCTGTGGGGGCCTCCCATGGCCTCTGTGCTCTTGGACGCGCCAGACCCCCTTAAGAAGAGGCCCCGTGTTTAATGGAGAGGCCCCCGGCCTCGCCTTCCTGAGGAGCTCCTTCCAGGCCATACTGATGGTGTCCCCTTCACAAGCAGTACCTACAGAGCCCCTCAGACAAGCAGAGCCCCCCGCCGCCCCCAGCACAGTGAGTACCCCCCACGGAGCTCCCCACCCGTCCCCCCCCACCTTGGTAGGGCCCCCGCCCACCTTGATGGAGTAGGCCAGCGCCAGGAAACCAAGGCAGCACAGGTTCAGATAGAGGGTGCTGAACACTGACCAGATCAGGTGGTCTCGAGGTGGGGGGTGCGGGGCCCCCAGTGTGAGGGCTGTGTGGGCACCGGCCTTGCTGGGCGTGGGAGCCCGGGGGTCCTCGCGGGGATACGCGGTGTCCATGGGTTCCAGCGCCGTCTCTTCCACACTTAGACTGGTGCTGGGGGTGGGCACCCACTCACTTATAGCCCTGCCGCCCTCCCAGCCCAGTCCCTCCATGCTATATATAACACAAATTACAGCCTGTAGGCCGAGGGTGCGGCCCGCCCCTTAGCCCCCACCCCAGGGAGCCCCTGTCCCAGGCTGCCTTGGACCACCCAGCAGGGCCCCTCCTGACAGACATCCCCCCTTGGAAGGCCACTGCCAGGCTGTGGCAGAGACCCCCACCCACACACCTCATCCCCCCCACCCCCATCAAATGCAGTGGGCAGACCATTGGCCAGAGACCCCTCCCTCCAGGCCAAGAGGAGTGGGAGGTGCTGCCTCAGGGCCACGGGTCTCACAGTTCAGGGACGTACAGGAGCCGCCTTCTCAGAGCCAGAGCTGCTGACACCGCAGCCCTCCATTCCCAGAACTCAGAACTCAACTCTACCCCAACACTCTCCGAGCAGGAGCACCAGTGCCAGGCCCTAGGAGCGCTGGCGTCCCTGCAAGGGGGAAGGGGAGGGCGGCTGTCAGAGGGCACTCCTGAGAGGAGAGAACCGCGTGGGGGGAAAGCCAGGGGGTGCAGCCTGTTAAGAACCCGCAGGGGACCCCCAGGGACCAGCAGCAGCTGTTAACACTGGTGGCCGGATGCAGGGAGCCTGTGGGCGTCTGTGGTGGACACTCCCCTCCTCAGCCTCCTCGGCTGCCTTCCCTGATCCCAGAATGTCTGTGGTGAGTGGTCCTGCTTAGGGCTCAAGGTCCGCCCCAGTCTTGTCTCTGTGGTTGCAGATGCCTCTGCGTGCTGACAACTCACATTTATGTCTTCAGCCCAGACTGACCCCCAAAGACATTGGTTTGGTCCCCAGCTCTGGACTCACACACACTGCTCTGTGGACCTCCACCCACTTCCCAACAATAGGCCCCGGATCCTCCCTCCAAACCTCCTGTGCCCAGCCTTCCCCCGAGCAGTGGTGGCAACTGCACCCGGCCAGAAGGCTCAGCTTCCCAGTCTCCCAGTCGGCCACACTCCCGAGCGCCTGGGACTGAGCTGCCCTCCCTCCTCCAGGACCCGCACTCGCCACCGGCAGGGGATGCTTGGGCAGGGGGTTCCTTGCTGCTCTGCTTGAACCTGTGAACCCCAAATATCTGAGACAGGTCTCCTTTAATTTAGAAAGTTTGTTTTGCCAAGGTTGAGGACGTGCCCATGGCTCAGGCTCAGGCGGTCCCGAGGGTATGTGCCCAAGGTGGCCGGAGCACAGTTTGGTTTTACACATTCTAGGGAGACAGGAGACATCTGTCAACATGTGTAAGATGAACATTGGTTCAGCCTGGAAAGGCAGGACAACGCAAAGCAAGGC